TTCAACAAAATAGTCGAAAAATGGAGGTTTTTTGTGATATTTCGATAGAAAACCACTTTTATAGCGTAGGAGAAAAACGCAATTCTTTGAAAACGTTTGACTAAAACCTTCAGGAAAGTCGTTAGAAAAATCTTTCTATATATAGTTCGAAACATTTTCATCTGCTCTCTCCAACGGTGAAAACCGCAGGTCTTTATCTCGTTCCTATCAAAAGTTATTCGAAAAATACCCACGGCCATTTATCTCTGAAATGGACATTAGTTGTCAGCGTGGTTGCTACTGTATATCAGTGAAATTGATATCAGTCAAAATACAAAAGAAAAAACTACCTACTTGTAGTGGAATAACTTAGTGTTGTGTTTCCTTTGATGCCAGTAAGAACAAATGTAAGTGGAAGAACAACAACCAGGATAACTAACAACACTCCAGCAATTCCTAGAAGCTGAAGTTGAAGTGATTGAACACTAGTTCCGGCATCCGGTATATGAGCGTTATTGTTCTTTCTTTGAAAAAAATCAACATTCGATGGAGAAAAATTAGTTGTATCGTTAGATCTCACGGGTTTGGTGGCTCATCCCAACAGGAGCCCGAATTCAAGTTCGTGGAATTATAAGACGATAGCATCTCGTGGAAGTTCTAGGCGACTACGCTCGTTCTTCTAAACAAATACTCTAGTGTGAAATTTGCAAAAAAATTATGATCAACAAAGTCATTTGGCATTCAATTTGATGCAAATACAGGCTTCTGAAAATATATGTATGACTTCTCGAAATGATGAAATAAGACAAACGTTGAATGGCAAGTGGAAGTATTATTGAATCTATTATTTTTCGGGAGAGGACAATACACACGCCTTCGTATGGCTGATTATTGCATAGTTTCATTAAATAATTTAATCTACAGAGCAGTCATAGAAGTGACTATATGCATTATTGTTCTCTTTTTTTTCGAAAAGGTAATCAAAAGAGAAAAGAAAACAACACTAGTGCTGACTTTCGATCCTCTCCCAGATGTTTTTTTTATTTATGCCTTTGTTTGCCCTATGACCTTGACGGTTCTAAAGGGAAAGATGAGCTAGAAAACAAGTGCACCAGCGAAGCAAAGTCTTGCTATAGACTGAACTGTGATGAATGCTCATACAAACGACTTTAGATTGGAAATTCCATATCCGAAGAAGGACTAAAAAAAACAAAAACAAAAAAAGGATAAGAAGAGAGACAAGAAGACAACAGGAGAGAACAAGAAACGAAAGAAGAAAGGAAGAAAGTAACAGCAATGAAAAGAAGAGGTGCATATGAAAGGAGAAGGAACCAAAAGGACAAAAAGAAAAGAAGAAAAGAAAAAAAACGAAAAAGAAAGAAAGGAAAACGAAGAAAAAGCGAAAAAAAAGGGGGCGAGAAGTAATGCGCACTATTAAGCCATGATTAGAGAGCTGCGGGTCCTTCCAGACCCGGGTCCGAGTCTGAAAATTTAGCTTTTACCGGGCCCGGATCCGGATCTAAACCTAAGAGGAAAGTCAGACCCGGTCTGCATTAAGTTATGAATGGAAATATATAACAATAACAATTGAAGTTAACAAATATGAAAAAGAAACAGTCAGAAATAATTTTACACTCATTTGACCTTTAAAGTCTCCAATGAAGAGCTAAAATTGTGTTCCCTTTTCTGTTCATGTACACGTAGGGTGTCAAATATTGGTGAAAAGAGGATCGGGTCTAGACCCGGCCGGGTCTGGGTCTAGACTCAGCCGGGTCCGGGTCGGACCTGGGTCTGAAAATTTAGTTTTTCCGGGGCCCGGGTCCGGGTCCGGGCTCAAAAAAACATGGATCCGCAGCTCTCTAGCCATGGTACTTGAATACTAGGAGATAAACGACTGCATGGGAGATTGAGGCGATTAATCAACTAGACTGTTCCACCACCGATTATTGCAGTACATTCACGTAGACCACTACCATTATTCGGCACGAATCAAAATATTTAATTTTGAAACAGTATCATTAAGTATACGCATCATTAAATTGAATTTATCGATTTGATCTTTCAACTGCTGCTCTATTCGCATTGTTCCATCGTCACCAGTGGTCCTCTTATTATTGTAATGCTTTTCTACATGTTCACTAATGGACCTTGCTTGTGTAGAAGTAGAACCATCCAGTTCGCGAATGAATCGTCTAAATTGAGGTAGGATAAACTTTTTATACAGTTTTATTAAAATAATCACGAGTGCACAACCGGTAATTAGTAGTAAAGCCATCGACACATTAGAAGATCCGGGGTCTTCTATTCTGTCTTATCGTTCATAAGCTAAAAGGGGATCTTCTATTCTGTCTTATCGTTCATAAGCTAAAAGGGGATCTTCTATTATGTCCCTTAAAAAAGTCATATTTTTTGGCAATCCCACCTACAAACCTTAGCTTCACTTGATTTTTGTCCAATATATCGTTGGTAAATGAGTTTGCTTCACTTATTTCACATGTGTAGAATAAGAAAGAAACAGATATCATCCTGTGAAAAAAGGGTGACCATTGTTGGTAAGAAGTGTTCTTAGAACAATACAGTCAATGTAGCCTAGCATCTTGGTACGATATCCCATATCGCTCTTTTTTTCTCTAGGCTAACACCTATCACTGGCAACATTTTACCTTCTCAATAACTAAATAAATGTAAAAAAAGAAAATTAATTTTTTTTATCGAACTCATTTTATTCAGTTGCTTATGTGGAGATATGATTAGTATAGATGGAATCTATTCATAGTGAATTCTGCTACTAGCAAAGTTATTAATCTTAAGTTAACTTCAATGAATACGATTGTCTTATGAAGACACCATCTATAGGAAATCAGCAGTTGAATACACACACCGTTTTTCTTTTGCGTCTGTTTCAAAAAATGCCATTGTATCTTATTGAAAAAAGAAATGTATTCTGAAACTCAAAAAAAGTACTCACATATCAAATCTTGACGTTTATACAGTCTACGCAAAAAATTCTGGGACATTCAAGAATGGCTCTCCGAAATTTCAGCTTTCATTTGAAATAAACTTTATATATATTTTGTAAGCCTAGTTACTGGTTAAACTTTCGTACTTTACTCTACAGACGCAAAACGTCTAGTTTTAATATTATATAAAACTGTAACCAGTAACTATACTTAAAATATATATAAAGTTTGTTTCAAATGAAATATAAAATTTTCCAGAACCATTCTTCAGTGTTCCAGAATTTTTTGTGTAGACTGTGCATGACGTTATGTTTTCTTCAATTATGAAAGACTGTTTTGTGGTTAAAACATTTCTGATTTTCTAGAAGAATGTCAAAGATGAAAAGACCTTTTAATTAATACAAAGTGGCACTTTACCTAATCTGTTATTATTGTACAAAGATCCTTTCACATGTTACATACAAGAACGGGCACTGCGTTCATTAGATCCTATGACTATAGAAGCGTGTTTTTCGTGTATAGAGCCTGAATAACGTATTCAAAGTAAGCTGCAAAGGAGTACTAAAATGACTCCATGGTATATTTTTACAAAGAAACGCAATCTTTAATAGACAGTTGTTTCCTATTAGTTGCTTCTCAGGATTTCACTCATTCGAGCCTGACACTTGGTTATGAGGGAGGAAGCAAGATATTGTTCGTACAGAATTTCGATATCATTCTAGGCTTAAATACTAAACAAGTCAATAAACTCCAGAAACTGTTTCAAAATATCAATTTTTTAAGAGGGGGGAGGAGGTCTTCTAATATGTCTTTTGCGTCATTTATTCAAGGAGGGTCTTCTATTACGGGGGGGGGGGGGGGGCTTCTAATGTGTCGATGGCTTTAGTTATTTCAAAATGATTTATTCTGATGTATTGAGAGAATACAAAGAGTAATTCATAAAAGAAAAAAAAAATCCTATTTAACCTTTTTCAGTTTTAGAATTCAAGTAAACTTAAACGTACTTCTTTTTGAAAGCAGCTTGTTTTCTGCATTCGATAAGCTTCACAAATAGTCATGCACTCTATTACCAACAATCAAAGGTAATAAACATAGCTCAATATCTTTTTGTCCTTTGATATCATCAATACCGAAGCACATGAAAAAAAACCGTGCTGCATCATTAGATTTTTTGTTCTTTATCATTTTTTTATCTAAAAAGGTATTATCATTGTACTTTTGATTGATACAATTTGGCTTTTTCTTGACAGTTTAAATAATCACTTATCTCATTTTCTTATCATTTCAAATAGTAATCAACGAAGAGAGAAATAATATATGGCACACACATAAATCATCTACTGCTCAATATAAGACGCTTATTTCGCATCAAAAATTGTTATGTGAAGGTCTACGGAGATTTCTTTTGAAATTACTGGATTTTCTTCAATATTTCGGATTTCTTTTCGATATTGTATGCCCTAGAATTAAAGTAATTTTAATCGGATTAACTAGAAGAATCGAGTCTTAAGTGTCCTTTGAAAACTGTTTGTTTAAAAATGTCTTAAACTAGAATTTCCCATTGAATTTAGCTCTTGAAGCGTTCTTGAAACATTGGAAAATCAACTTCAATTTTATGACTATTTTATTTGATGTTCAATATATATAATGCTCAAAACAATAGATACTATCCGATGAGAAAAAAAACAGTTTGAAATTTACTAACAAGTTTGAGAAATTATATCTGACGTACCATTATACCTAGAATAAAATATCTTCATAGTGCATGGTTATTCAGTTTATGCTCATTTAAAAACCGTTTAACTACCAATGGCAAGACAACTAGTCATTGCTTCAATGAAAAAACTATTCAGCACTTTTAAAATTGCTCCAAATTTTAATGAATATTTTATATTAAATATTTCATACATATGATCACATTAAAACATTCATAGCTTCAGCTTGTGAATTTATCGTAATATGTGTATTACATCATTGTATGAGGATCAACTGTTTTCTACAATAAACAACGATAAAATTAAGTGATGAAAATCATAGGATAATTTGAAAATAATCAATAGATTACTCACTTGATTTAATAACAATTTTTTTGGAGTGTTTGTAACGTTTTATACTCCAATGCTCTAATATGAAAGACGACTGTTCTTCGAAAATAAACAGAATACTATACAAAGATTAATGAAATGGATTACCTCCAATAATCTTTTCTTTTCTTTGATGATCTGATGTCTGGCTAATTTTGTACAATTAGATGTTAATGTTTGAATAATATCTGTACTAAATGGATCAGAACGAAGATTAATTTCACGAATCAGCTATTTATAGAAAAAAATAATAATAAAAAAACATAAATGTATATGTGATATTGAGATTATGACAGATTTTTCGAAGAAATTGTGTAACTTCAGCAATATTTCAATGAGTTATCAGTCGATCGAAAAAACTACAGTTGCTAGGATTTACCAAATTGGTCACTGATAAAGCTGGATATAATTCGACAATATCGTTGACTGGTTGCATCTCTTGAACAAGTTGTCGACGATCTACAAACATAATATTCATTTTAACTTTAACTTGACTATAATCATATTTTGTTGTATTAACTGAAACACGCATTGAATTTGCTTGTTGACATAATTGCATTAAAGATTCGTCTGATTATTCTTTTTTCTTCAACTAAATATTCCTAAAAGCACTAAAACTCTGAGAATATAAAGTAAAAGTTGGATTCCTACCTGACGAAATATCAAGTCCACCTTTATAAATTTTAATTTTCGTTCTGACATTTGGTGAACATATGAGTGTCGTTTTTTTGTCAGTACTTCAGATGAATAACTGGATACTTTTCAATCACGAGAGAATTGTTGTTTTAATGCTGATGTTAAGAGCCTCTAAATGAGAAAAAAATCAAATAAAGATGAAAAAAGTATTCAATCTTTTATCAAACATACCATACAGTCACCAAATATTTTACCTAGTGCTGGATATTTATTTGTGACGCTAACTATCATTCGATCAAATTCAAATGCTGTTCAATAAAAACTAATATCAGAAGTTTTGACTATGTCATTACGAATCGTTTTAACTAATAGTTGTTTCTTTCTATATCGGACTCCAAAATCCTGCTAGTAATAAATTTTTAGCAACCTCTTCAAAAGCTTTGTCAAACCTTGTTACCACATAATTCAATGGAATGTTTTTTCTTGATTGAGATGTTATTGAACTTGTCAGAGAATTATCGAA